AGGGATCATTCAGACCTGTGCGATCGTTCGCTTTGGGAGCCTCTTGTAGGCCTTCTGTGCCCTTCTTAGAACAACTTTGGAGTCCTCTTGGGCCCCCTTGGGGCTCTCTTAGGGCCCTCTTGGGGCGCTCTTTGGTCTCTCTTTGGTCCCTCCTGGCGGCCCTGAAGCAGCTCTTGGGGCCGTCTTGGAGACCGTCGATCGAAGACAGAGGTGGGCCCTTCTAGGGCCCCCCCCGTGAGCCTTCGCTGAGCCTCCTGGGGCATCTTGGGACGCTCTTGGGCGCTCTTGGGCCCCCCCTTGGGGCCCTCTAGGGCCCTTCTCACAGCTCGTGTGGGCCATCTTGGAGCCATGTTGAGGCCGCAGGCGCCCATCGGCAGCGCACAGGGGCCGACCACAGTGATGTTTCGTTAGATGTTGGCCTTCGTTTTGTGTTTCGCTGTATTGTTCGTTGTGCTTATGTTGTGTTGTTCGTTCTTGGTTTAAATGCGTTGGAAGGTTAAACGATTTGTTGTGCACGTTGTGTTGTCCGTTTTGTTTCGCAGCGGTTACAAGGTTTCGTTTCGTTGTTCGTTTTGATTGTTCCGTTAAGTCCGCGGTTCGTTTCGTTGTTCATTTCGGTTCGTGCCACCGTCGTCCGTCGTCGCTCGATGTTCTGATTGCGTGTAAAAGGACAGCCGTTTATGGTTTCATGTTTCGTTTTTTGTTTAATGTTCTTGTTGAGATGGTTCTCCATGTTCGGTGACTCGAGGTCAAGCACTTAGTTGTTCCCCCTTCGCTCGAGCCGTAGTTTTGGGGCGTTCGTTGTGCTTCTCGCTCCTTTGGTTTTTCTGTTATATTGTTGCGCTCCTGACCAGAGCTTGAGCGTGGGCTCCGGCCTGTGCTGTGGCCCCAGCCATGATTCTGGCCGTCCGCTTCGTTTGGTAATTCGTTCGGTGGTTCGTTTCGTTTCTGTCGTCCCTCGCCCCGGCTCAGTTTTCGGGCGCTGGTTTCGTTGTTCGTTCCTGTGTTGCGTTCCTGGCCTGATCTTCCGCATGAGCCCCAGCCTCTGCCATAGCCTCATCCATCGATCGGGTGTTCGTTTCGTGTTCCGTTGCGTTGTTCGTGTCGGTTCTGTCCCCATCTAGCCTTGGCCATAGGTTCCAGGCGTTCGTTTCGTTTTTCGTCTCGGTCCTTCCTCCCCCGCTTGGGCCCTCGACTCCAGGGCCCTAGATTCTTGGGCCCTAGACGTCCAGGGCCCTGGACCCCCCGGGCCCCAGACATCTGGGCCCTAGACCCCTGGGCCCTAGGCTCCTGGGCCCTAGGCTTCTGGGCTCTAGACCCCAGGGCTCTAGAACCCCCTGGCCCTAGAGCCCTGGGTTCAAGACCCCAGGGCCTCGGACTCCTGGGCCCTCCTAGAGCTCCAGGGCCATAGGCTCCTCGGCCATAGACGCCAGGGCTCTGGACTCCTCGGCCTTGGAAATCAGGGCCCCAGAGTTCCAGGCCCTAGACTCCTGGGCCGTAGGTTCCTCGGCCCCAACCCCAGGGCGCTAGACTTCTGGACCCCGGACTCCGAGACCCTGGATTCCTCGGCCCTAGAATCCAAGGCCCTGGTCCCTTCCTTGGGCACCAGAATCCAGGGCTCTGGACCGGTGGCCCCTATGTTCCTGGGCCTTTGGCACCTGGGCCCCAGACTCCTGCCCCGAGCTCACACGGTCTTCGGGGTGAGACGTGCCATCCCTTGTTTTTAAAATGCTGAATGTCCTCATGTTGGCTCCCTGGATACTAACTCTACATGTGGGTTTTGTCACTCTGTTTCGGGGGCGACACGTGTCGCCCGTTGTTTTTTTGTGCGGCAGTATGGCCTTATGTTGGGTCGCGGAGCCCCAATTTAGAATTGGTTTCTGTCACACGGGTTCGAATTGGTTTCTGTCACACGGTCACACGTGTCATCCGTTGTTCTTGTGAAGCTGAATGATCTTATGATGGCTCCCAGAATCCCAACTTTACAATTGTGTGTTTGATTTCTCTCAGACGGTTTCGGGGGGTACACGTGTCACCAGTTGTTTTTTGAGAAGCTGAATGGCCTCATGCTGGCTCTTAGAATCCAAATTTTGCAATGAGGTTTTCTCAATTCGGTTTCGGGGGTGACACATGCCACCCGTTGTTTTTGGTAGGTTGGAGGGCCTTATGTTGGGTCCCACAGTCCCAATTGCTCAAGTGGTTTCTCAGACGATTTCGGAGGTGACACGTGTCACCCGTTTTTTCTTGTGAAGCTGAATGTCGTCATGTTGGGTCTCACCATTACAATTTTACACTTGTGTTTTTCACACAGTTTCCAGAGATGACATGCGTCACCATTGTTTGGGTGAGGCTGAGTCTCCTTATGTTGGCTCCCAGCACCCCATTTTTTCAATTGGGTCTTGTTCAGACGATTTCGGGGGTTTACGTGTCACCAGTGGTTTTTTTGTGAAGCTGAATGGCCTCATGTTGGCTCTTAGAACGCTCACTTCACAATACGTTT